TCTCTCTCTCTCTTCCCCTCTCTCTCTCTCGCTCGCTTGGACTCAGACAAGACTGTCAGTCGAGATGGAGTCCCGCACTTGAGGCCAGACTCAATGAAATAAAAGGCAAATATCTGCACTGGCAGATTGAACGTAAAGGTAAGGGACTCGATGGATCCGTTCTTGTGGCAGCAGTTCAAGAAGCATGAGCCATCACCAACGTTCACGTAGCGTCCATGGTCTAAGGCCAGCTTTCCACGCTAAACGCATCTACAAACCCTTTAATCTTTCTAGGCCAAATTCCCTTGCCTGCTACTCGGAATCCAGGACCCTCTCCAAATCCGAAGCGCCGCACCAGCCCTTGCAATGAGCACCTCTCCGGCACCCCCGGGCTGAAACAGCTCCACCAGCTTGCACCTTCACACAATGGAGTGACAATGAACATGGCTGCTTTCTGCTTGTGCATTTCCTCCTCTGTGGCCGTGTCTCTCATGCGGATCATACAAAATCGTTCTGCCGAGCCTGGTTTCCTGGTAACAAAAACAGTCGTCACCTCACTTCAGCAACAGGATCTTGAACCTCAGAAGCGTAAGCATGCAAAGTTCGGGGTATTGCCGTCGTATGTCAAAAACGAAAAAGTGAAACAAACTGTTGTATCTGAAACCCGGAGCTCGCCTGGACAAAGTGATGCGCTGCTTGTCAGAGAACAAGTCCATGCTCTCTGCGACAGTTTGAAGCATCCGCTTGCCATACTTCTCGGCAACTCCGGACGAAAACTTCGGATGGGTGATAATGTTGAAGACATCCTGCACCTGAGATGCAGTTCTTGGCAGTTCAAAAACAGTATATGACATCAACCATATGATGCGGCTGCTCTGCTTCAGCTCTTCTCCCATTCCAGCCCATGTCCCACGCAGCATCTTCTCTCACAATATGCTTAGTTCTGTGTGAGGCGGTTCTCACATAGGGCCCAAACTCTCCGTGGTATACTACACTCTCGCTTTCACGCTGCAACCCCTGCATCGAAACACGTCCTGCATGCTACAATGCAATAGGACGGCACAATGGGCTAGCGACTAGTGCCATGCTTGTGCTTTTCCATGCCAAGCCATGGCAGCTATGAGCCCGCAAACTCCCCAAATACCAGAGCATCTTCCCCCTCCTACCGGGCAATGGTGGGGGTAGTCGTTTACCCGGACGGCGGCAGGGCCTTCGCCTTGCCAGGCATCGCTTTGAGGGCCTTCTCCAGCCTGAGCGATGCGCGCCCTGAGAGTCGCGACTGGTGTATCTGTGTGTCTTGGAGCAAGTGCAGAGCCTCTCTCTCACCTTCCGACGAGTTCTGTAGAGTCTGTGCATTGCTTGCACATTGCACAACTGGCCTCGACACCTAAACTCCAGACTCCAACCACCAAAGTCACGAAATGAAACAGCTGAAGTGCCAAACATACAATGTGACATGGTGGTGGGTAAGGAGACCTGTTGAAAGTCCTGAGGCCATCGAGCCTGGTAACATGACACCAAGACAACGCCAAAATCTGTTCCCTGAGCCCCAAACCCCACAGCTGCATCCCGAATGAAATCTAAACCCTATGCCGAGCCCTGAACCTACATCTCGGGTCGGGTTCCGAAGCGTTTCAAGTGGCCACTCCGCTTTGCTCGAGCCCGGCATCTTCAGCGTCAGGCGCAGGTCGCAAGTCACTGGCACCTGCAGGCTGACTGTAGGTCTCCAGCTCGCTCTCGCTCTCTCTCTCTCTCTCTCTCTCTCTGCCGGGCATAGGGGCAGGTCAATGCCCCCGTGCATTGAGTCCACCCGATGTGTTATCGGGCGTAGGGGAGTGAAAGCCGTGTGTAGTTCATCATTCGGGCTTAGGCCATAAAGTGTAAGATGATGAGCATGATGAACGTACACACTCCACGACGCATGCGCTGTGAGGAAGACTTCCTCTATATTCCCCCAGGATTATAAGGATGAATAGGTAAGGAAAAGTCACGACAACGAAACGGGGGTTTTAGGTTTGCCTTCCCCGCTGGTCTCAAAGGTGCCTTTCCGAATTCACACACTCTCTCTCTCTCTCTGTCTCCCTCTCTCTCTCTCTCTCTCTCTCTCTCTCTCTCTTTATGTACATGCACTAGCAACAGGGTGGTGCAAGGTGTCCACAGGTTGTATCCACCTCCTTGCAGCTGTGTTGCAGAGGGCTGAGGGGTTGCCAGCGAGTTTAGGGCTCGACAAACTCTCTGTCCCGGGCGCCCTGGACGGATCGTGGCCTTGCCTCGTCCACCACGGGGGCCCCCTTTTGGGGCCGATGCTGGCGCCGGGCCGTAACAGTCGCAGGCAAGCCTGGTTCCCACCTCGGCTTAGTCCCAGCACCTTGGGCCCCTAGGGTGCATCCTTGGATTTTTCTTGCTTCGTGTTTGGAGCTTTCGGAGGAACTTCTGCTTCGACCCGGCAAGCCCAGGACTCAAGCTCGGCTTAGGCTCTTTTTGTGCTGTCGTTTCTGTGCGTGACATTTAGCTCGAAGCTCCGAATTCTCAGAGCATTGTTCTGAAGTGTGCGGCCAGGGACCTGGGTCTAGGATGACTGCAGAGGGCTGAGCTTCAAAATCTCTGCACGGCGGTCCGGAAATGCTGCCGCGGCTCTTGCACTTATCATGAGGACTGCGCTTGACCAAAACAAGTACAAGATGTGTGGGCGAATTGCAGCATGGAGTGACTTTGCTTGCTGCTTGTCCCGTCGTAGGTTGAGGGTCTTCACAACATAAGCAGGCATGGGTAGGTGTAAAGCATAAGATGAACTCTGCAAGGCCAGCTGCACAGTCTTCCCATCCTTGTTTATGGTGGTGAACTCCTTCTGCATGGCGTCACTGGCCCGGGCTCCACCACAGCCCTGGGACAAACATTCGGGATGACATCACCACCGGATCATCCTGCGCAAAGCCTAGCTACGCCTTTTGGGCCAAAAGGTCATGGAACGCTCGGTCAGGTGCAAAACATTTCAATGAAGGAAGTGCCGGTCCGAGTTTCCAGTTTCTGCAACTCCGAGGCTCGATGAGGTCCCTGGGCATGGGCTCGACAATACGGTACAAGCGGGCGAAGAGCAAGACTGTGGACTGTTGCACCCTATCAGCGATCCTCCATGCTTATTTCCATTGTATGTCTTGAGCTTCATCCAGCATTGAGGGAGCGCATTTAAGTCTACACCCCACAACACAACCCCAAACCCCTTAATGGCCTTAATGCCCCAATCCTGAAGTGCAACCCCCTCTTACGCGTCCTTTGCGAGCATCCCACCTTAAGCAGTAACGAACACAGCCCTGCGTTTATGCTATGCGAGCAAATATAGATGCGTGAGATATAGTTCTATAGATACACACATGTATACATGCATATACACACATACACATGCACACATACACATCTACAAACACACACACACATACAAACAAACAGTACATTACATTACATTACCTTACGTTGCATTGCATTGCATACATAGCATACATAACATAACATAACATAACATAACATAACATAACATAACATAACATTACATAACATACATACATACATACATACATACATACATACATACATACATACATACATACATAAATATACATATACATGTATATACATATACATGTACATATGCATATACATATACATATACATATGCATACATATATATATATATCTATATATATATATATTCCTATACACATCTACATACACATCTATATTTTCGAGTATACATGCATATGCGCCGATGCGCACATACGTACATACATACATACCTACGTACGTATTTACACGTACATGCATGCATACATACCTAACGAGACAGAGAGTGTGGGAGTAGAATTTTGAAATTACTGTATGAATTCTGGCAGCAGAATTGCTTCCCAGAGAGGGCTAGCACGCCGGGTGTGCCTTAAACTCCAAGCCCTGGACGGTTCGATCCTAGAACCTGATTGGCCTTCGTCCCTACAGAAGGCAGCTGTTGGTGCTCATGGCAAAGTCAGCTCAAGCAAGTATGAAGAGTAATTTTTCAAGACATGGCATTTCCCCGGGCGATCCGCTCTTTCGCTGCCTTTTTCGCTCCTGCGAGTGGCTGGGTGGACTGCGCAACAGGCCAGGCAGGTGCGGAGCACAAGTGTCTGGTTTGTAGTCCTTGGGTTTGGTTCGCGTGCAGCGAAAGGCTCCACAGGCCCTGAATACTTAACCCTCTGTCAGCTCATGGCACTGTAGCAGCCCGTCGAACCTGAGCCCAAACTTCGACCAGAGCGCCTTCTTTTGCGCTCCCGCGTCTCAAGCGGATCTCAGGTGGCTGCGAAGCTCCATCAAGGCCTGCGGCTGCCATGATTTGTCCATCACGGCACGCGGACCAAAGTTCATGTAATGAGATGCAATGCCACGCGAGGCGCCTGACTGAACCCAGCACCCCAAGCGTAAACCTTGAAATCAGAAGCCCAAGACAGCACCCATTCAAAGGTACCGGGCAGCTCTGGTGACGGCACGTAGCCTTAGGCACCTATGGGAGGAACTATGCTACACCTTATTCCGTGCCAGTCCTTCCCAACAGCGTTCTGGCCCGTTGCCAAACCGCCTGTGGCTGCATGGTTGGGGAAAGGTTTAGAGCAGCTTTTTATCGAAGCTTCGTGATTGCGCTGAGAGTTTCTAAGGTCGAAACTTTGAGAACTTTGAGAAGAAACAGAAGCATTGGCTGTAATGCAGACCCAACATTAAATGACCTGCGCTGGGCTTTTCCTGGGCTTTGGGCTGTCTTCTCGTCAAGGCTGCTGAGTGCACGGGTCTCAGAAACTTCGATGGCTTCACCCCAAGAAAAAACACGACCAGCTTCGGGGACGATCTTTGGACTCTGAGACTTGAGGCCAGGCTTCAGGAGGGTCTGGAATCGGGGCATTCGGGCCAACTAGGGTTCAGGGATAGCTTTGACACTATTTGATGATGAAATGTCAGGGTCTCGAGTCAAACATAGACTAGCAGAAGAATTATGAGAAGAAGAAAAAGAAGCGTGAAACAGTACGCTTCGGAATCGTAGCCGACAGTGTGCGGTATGATGCCCCCCCCCCAACCGCACTCCACCCGTTTTTCAACTGTCCCTACATGGATTGCAGCTCAGCTTTTCGGAAAGCCCCGGTGCGAACTCTCGTGCCTGGTGCTTGCATGCCCGCCCAGGGATCGGTGTCCGCAAAGACCAGTGTCTTGTCGCCTGTAGCCTGAAGTGCCTCAGTCAAGGTCTTAAGCTTAGGATTAAGCCTCGAGTGTGTTGAGATTTACGAGGGCTTTCAGGAAACCCGACACTCGGACCATCCAGGCGAGGCATGTGGTTCGTGGCTCCAAAGCGTCCTAGTTATGGACCTCCATGCCTACTCGGAAACAGCCTGGGTCAGGGTGACGACACCTAGCCCACAAACATCATAGAGTCAGAGATCTTGGAGGGGCTCTGAGTAGCATCGCCTTCCTTTAGAATCATCGTTGTGAAACCAGTAACCTTTCCATCCAGCTTCAAGACTAGGACTGCAATATTTAGTAACAAACGTGTTGTATAAATGCCTTACATGACAGTAGCTTTTGACTTTAGCATAGTAACAAACTTGAGGTTACTGGTCCGACGACGCTCATTGGCGAACAACAACTCGTTGGTTGTCGCTGGTTCGGTTTAGGGTGTCCCGGTGTTAGGGGTTGCCAATATTGGGTACAAAAGCTGAAAAGACTTGAAGCCTGCTATGACAAGAACTATGTTGGCTTTCCAACTTTCCATGTCAGGGATGTTCTAGATTCAGGTGCCATCGAATTTTCCCGACTGGGCCATGGACTCAAATGTTCAGCCTGCCTACAAGGCCTCGCAACTTCAAATTAGACAGTCTTCAAATGTAACAGCACGGGAACTTGATGTGGGAGCGCCAAAACGAAAGAGAAAACGATGAAGAACGAGTTGTGCACATAGATGTTCACAATCGTGAATGACATAGGCATACACAAACACCCACAAGCAAGACCCCGATTATCCGGAAAGCAATGAGTTCGACGTTTGCAAGGTGTAGGTGCTGTGATGTAGGAGCTGCGTAGGCGCTGTGACGCACGTGCTGTGACATCGGATAGCTTCGACACGCACGATCCCCGTGCAGGGTTCATAGCGCCGAGCCCCACCAAACCCACCCAAGGCTGAGAAATACTGTAGATTAAGAAAGATTGGCGGTGTAGGTGCTCTGGTGTACTTGGTGCTGTGCTGTAGGTGCTGCGATGGTAAGGGCTGTGGTGCGCTTGGTGCGGTCGCTTTAGTAGGTTTCTCCAGAGAACGCGGCGTTTTCGGGAACAAAAAGACATATAGACACTTCCATCTGAAACGCATCTGTGAGCATGCTGAGGGGTACGTGTATTGTGCTTGTATGTATGTGCCATGCATACCCACCCACCTTCCTACCTGCCTACCGAAACGGAAAGCGCCTTGCAGCGCGGACCCTGAAACCAAGGCCCGACAGCTGCGCAGCCCTGATTCTGAAACGCTAGGGCAGACAACACCAAGCCCCCAATCTCCCATCTCAGTGCAAACCTGCGAGCTGGAAAGCGCCGCAAGTCAATGGCGAAATTCCCAACTCGCAAGCTGCCAGGGCACTTGAACAAACGCCGGGCACTGAGCTGCCTGCGCTGGAGCCAAAGGGACAGCTCGCCCACGAAACGAAACCCTTCCCTGAATCAGATCCAGCCTGAACTCTCGAAACACTACGGCTCCAGTGCTTGAGCAGGTATGGGCTTTTTCGCGCGTGCGGTGTAGGGTGCAGGCCGGCAGGCTTTTGTTGGGGTTTAGGAGTGTCAGCCTCCCAATCAATATATATATATATGAGAGAGGCGC